AGGTCAGGTGCTCTGAATTCAGGGCTCAGTTCACATCCACAATCAGGTTGAACTATTGATGCATCACCCAGTCGATCAAAAAGCAAAACATAATTTGGGAAATAAGGCATCCTTGCCGAACTCCAGGAGTCAGGAGGAAGGAATCCGACTCTTCGCCAAGAGCTCTTGCTCGAGTTGATGTTGTGTTATAGTAAGCTTTGATCAGATCGAGCAACTTTATCGGGGGTCTGTCAGCAAGCAAGATTTGCCATAAGGCTTTTTGTTGGTCTTGACGTCAATGAAGCAGCCTGTGGTGATATGTTGATGTCGGTGTTCCATTACGCGGCGCAGAATGAAGATCTGGTCGACACATCCTCTACTTGAACGGGAGCCGCCTTGGTCAGGACAGGCGCGTAAATTGCACCCAATCCCAAATCTATTAAGAGGTATGGTTGCAAAAACTTTGGACACTACATCGATGAGAACGATGCCGCGATAATGGGAACATATGGCATGTCACCACGCTTCGGCATCGGCAAGATGATGGACAATGACCAGTCGGTTGGGATGACTTCTGTCGACCGTATAGTCAAGTAAAGTCAATGAAGTGATTTTGTCAAAGCAGAAAAGCCAGTTTTATAGACTTCTGCTGGAATACCATCCTCACCAGATATCTTCCGACCTTTCAATTGCCGCAATGCCGTCTCCGATTCTGATCTCATAGGTGGCTCGCAATAACCTAAGTGCATCGCATACGACAAATGCTCAAGTAGGCTTTCTCGGTAAATGCTCGATCTCATCAACATGTTGTACTGGCACCTGATTGAGGACTCGCTATTCCAACGTCTTCCTCATCCTCCTCTTTGTTTCAAACATGTCCCCATTAACTTACTTTAATGTTTTTCGATATGTTGTTGAAAGGCAGCGGTGGTAGCGAAGCAATTTTGCCGAATAGTCATTTCGCAAGACCCTGCCAATCTAATCACCCGCTTGAGCGCTCCTGTTAGGTAATCTACGCGAAGAGGATTTTTGAGAAGATGAGGGATACTTGACCAACACTGTTGGAGGATCATCCTTCGAAAGAGGCATACCGACTTCGTCTCGAATGAGGCAGTCCGAAATCGTTGCGACAAAACCGCAAGGATAACCAAAACCACCCAAGAAAGACGACGAAGGTGGTTTGGGTACGTTTTTCGTCATCCCCTTCAGAGCAGCTGCCCTTGGTCTTTTCCCAGTTGGAGGCATCGAGGTGAAAGCACGCCCCAAACTCGGCTCGACAGCGTTCGTAAAGAGATGGAAGTGATTCTTGAAAATTCGGTTTCTGTCGCCGGTGTAAAGAATGGGTTGAACTATCCAGAGCTGACACCTTGGATCATCACGTGTAGAAAAGTACACTGCATGATTTAATCGATGCCGTTTGGATCGGATGCGATTTTAGCTGTTCCAAGTACACGTTATTAGAAGAAGAAACGCGATGGCATAAACAAGATGTACCGACTCGAAAACAAATAGGAAACGAAGTACGGGATGTGGCTTGGATCTCGAGTAGTCATAATTCTGCACAGGACCGTCATGCTTGCAACAGACAATGAACTGACATGGTTATCAAACGCATTTTGTTGGAGTCACACTAATTCCGAGACCAAATATTACACGAAAAAGGTGACCAGTATAGACTTTTGCGTGAATTTAACTGACCATGTATGAGGATAATGAGCAGGGATTAAAATCAATACAACTCTTCTCTCCTCAAGCGGAAATCTGTGAAGGCTAGATGTTAAAAACTTACCAAAATTCATAAATTCTAGTGATTTCTAAGTGAAACGCTAATGCGGGGTTTTGAGATATTGCACTTACTCAAAAGCAATATTTGGTAAACACCTTATCAGTAAACTGCAAATATCTTATAATTGAGCTTAGTTTTTTTACTAAACAGGACGTCTGTTACATAAGCTGGCAGCATGCGGAAGACAATTGTGCTGGGGACCTACTGCGTGGTACCTAGTACTTAAAAACAGATAGTCTGGACATTTAGTGCCCCCTTTGAATGAGACTGATTGGTTCGGGGAAACAGAAACGATTGCATGTTCATCGGACATACTTCCTCTCTCTATCAATAGCGAGGTTGCACCATACAAACCATTACAATGAGACAACTTGACTAAAACCGGAATAGTGTAAAAAATCCACTCTTAAGCAAAAAGGTCACCAAGGCTACCAATATATTAGAAAAAAATTTTGTACTAGCATTCAGCTTTTTTATGTAGACAACATGAGCGGATTGAATATAAACCAATCCTACAAGCCTCAAAGAGTTCAAAATCTCAACTATATCGAATGCGGGTATGCTGATATAAGGTCAATTCCAGGACTCACCATTGGGTCAAGGACGTCCACCGGGTCACTTCCTCGTTCGATTAATACCTGAAAGAAGAGCAGATACAATAAAGGTGCAGTGCTGACAGACACTGTGTGTATGGACGTGGTCAAATCCTTTAGAGTTTTGATACTTCTAAAGACGGATTATACATTTTTAATCATTGGGCTTTGTTAATCACAACCGCACTGTCGAACCTGTGTAGTATCTACCGCACGCTCGCTTACCTCATTCACGCAAATTCAATGGCAAGACAGTTGATGGGAGGGGCGCGGGCCCAGTGGTTAACATAGCATAACAATCTGTCTAGGCGTGCCACATATGCCCTGTTCCCAAGAGCTACAACACTTGACCAAGTTTGAAAAGTTAATTTGGCAAACATATATTTTCAGCAAATAATCATCAAGCCAAACACTTGCAGGGGTAATGAAAACTGTACAGTTTGGACGGGGTTAATCAGTGTAGTCTGATTAAAATTCATCGTTTACACGTCGCCCGCATGGCGAGGTCGGCGAGTTGAGGTTTTTGTGTTGGGGGAGGGGGGAGTGGGGGCGGGAGGGAATTGGCTTAGGTTGTGGGCTTTGATCAGAGGTCAGAAACATGGAGCGATAGTTGCTGCAATTTGCACGAAGCTAACGACTGTCACTAGGGGTAGGGATCGAAATGCGATCATCACCTGGTGTCGGGGACGACCAAGGAAGTGCAGGGGCTTCTGTCAGCGTCTTTTGACAACACAGCACTGGATTTGCTAGCCATATAGCTATTAATTCGGCTGTTGCAAGCACCCGTTGGCATAGGCCCTTGGAAAAGTTAGCTGGTGTCCGGCAGGCAACCTGAAAGGCTTCGTTAGTATCGACGCGATGATTCGTATCGACAAGAATAGCGAGAATATAACTCGAGATTGATCTACTTCACCTTAAATTAACCAGACCGGTATCTGCTCACGTATCCTCTTTTCCAAGTGCCTCGTTGTTCCACCAAGGAGCAAGTGAAAGAGTTAATGCACATGAATGTGGCCTTCAACGGGAGTCGGTCTTGCCCTTCGAATCATAGGAGAGGAGAGTTCGTGAAAAACATCCGTAAGTTGGCCGCTGGGAAAGCGCTTGCGATTGCTTGCGATTGGCGTCGTCTGACCAGTTTGCTTGTTGCATCGCCCAAGAAAGGCAGTCTTATAAACACGTCTTTCATTTCTGCGGTTAGGGTAGCAGCCTTTTTGGCGCGTTCGCCAAAATTCCTGAGGATGAACCTTTCTTAGTTTCCCTTTCCAATTAGTATATGCTGCAGTTGTTGGAGTTCTGCTTCGACAGCTTCAGGAGAGCAGACCTTTCGTACTCTAGCGGCTAATATCTGCACGAGATTCCATTTTATATTTAGAAGAATAAAACTGTGAAAGTTGATGTTTCGTCCCGTCGAGGTTTTCTTTCGGAATACCCTACGTAGGATAGATCCACCATCTTGCTCTCGCAGAAGGACATCAAGGAACGCAATTTTATCCTCCACCTCAGTCTCTGCAGGAAATTTAAGCAATGGGTGCGCGCTGTTTTACTTCACGACTAGGGCGTCAGTGTCAGCAGTATAGTCGGTCAAACAGAAGATACCATCCACATATCGACTATAGAATGCAAAATCATTGATGATGTCCCTTAGGCTTGTTTCCTCGATCTTGTCCATAAAGACGTTTGCGAGAAACGAGCCAAGTGGTGAGCAGATCGCCACACAATATTTCTGCCTGTAAAACTGACCATTGCAGAGAAATCGTACAATTTGTCTGCATCTTGTAAGTAGCTCTTTGAGGGTTTTCACGGCCATACCTATCTGATAGTTCGTGTTTCCCCCTCCTCTCTCCCCAAACACAAGAACCTCAACAGGCCAACCTCGCCATGCGGGCGACGTGTAAACGATGAATTGTAATCAGACTACACTCATTAACCCTGTCCATCTGTACAGTTTTCATTACCCCTGGAAATGTTTGGCCTGATGATGGTTTGCTGAAAAAAATATATTTGCCAAATTGACTCCTCAAAATAAGCATGGGAATATTTGCAGAACTTGACTTGCGTTGCCTTTACCTCACTCTCTCCCCGTACCCAAGCTCTACCTAGTGTCATGATCAAGTCAAGCAAACTGGAAGTGGGAGAGGACAAAGATGAATGGAGCAGCCAGAACCGCACATAGGTGTGAGACCACGAAAAGCAGAGAAGTCATCATCGCCGGCTTTTTAGTCAGTAGGTCAGATAGGTCAAGGCCAGATCGGAAAAACCCAGGTTTCAATCCCTTGGGATGAATGGCTATTTGCGCTCTGTCCCACGCGCTCTGATATCCACAGCCTCGTTCTTCGTGTTTCAAGAGCTAAGCATTTTGACCACTCCGAATCGGAACAAGAAGATTTTTTTCACTCGATGTTTATCTGTAGGAGATGCAAAGTCCTAAGATATCTTACTAACAGGGATGCGACGTAAGGCCTGGCTGAAAATATCTACTAATGAGTTCGTGACAACATCTAGTTAGGAATCCCTTTAAAAAATTATTCCTACCACTTGGCAGTTACTTGTTTGTAGTATCCAACTACGAAGTCTCCTTTTTCTAGGACAATAACTATTCATGCTTAGCTCATAAGTTTCTTTGAATAAATGCATGTAAATCATTAGTTTAGCTGAAAATATAGAGCTAAGTCAACCTTTCGTTTTTCTTCCAGCAACTGCTTCACTTGCGCCTGGAGTTCTTCGATATCTTTGAATATGTCATCCTGTACCTTGATTTGGCTGAGGTCGTCAAGAGTTGCCGCATTTTTAATACCTTCCTGAAAGTACAAAAAGAATTAGCACATGAGCTAATTTAAAGCCTTTTAAAAAATGTTCATCTCGAATTGTCAGTTTGAAAAGAAAAACTGTTGACGTCTATGAAAAAATATGATCGAATCCTAAAAATTTAGATTTTACCAGTTCACTGCAAGAATAAAAATTACTAAAAACTCTGCTGTCGAGAATTTAGCTAACCACGAGTTGCAGTTTTTAAAAAAATGGTAAAAGTCAACGTACTTCCAACTGTAGAATCCTTTTATGAATTTCATCCAAGTTCGATCGTAGGCCACAAATTTGAGACAACCAGGCTTTCACGCTGTCGTCATCGCACTTCGTCTGCAAATAAGAGATACACATGAGGTTTACCTCTCATGAAGTGAATGTAATGGAAGGGACACATTCTTGCTTCCGATAGAAAATTCTCGATACCGTTCACCTTCTTCTATGGCCATTTAAAATTTATTTATCCAAAATTCAGGCAGAAACCAGTTAGCCGAAAGTTGTGGGTATTCTCGACCGCAGCTCAAGCCTATGAAGGCGGCTTGACAGGTAAGATGCCAATTTTAACGACTGAATTTCCGTTATACAGCCTTCTGGCCTACGGAAGTCTGCCAACGGCAAGTGCTGACATTCGACAGTTAGGACTCTATCTGTGAGCTGAATTAACCTTCCTGAGTCGGTAACTAAAGGAAAATAGCTCAGTATAAACAGAGATTGAACTCATGACTTTATACCAAACGAATATACATTAACGTACATTAACGTTTGCAAATAATTGAACACCGCTTATTCATTTGGGCGTTTCGGACACAAGCGGACCTCAGAACAGAAAACATAAATTTAAAAACAAATTAAAAAGTAAATAATAATTATGTTAATGGATCATATGAAGACTATGCTTACCATTGAATATGGAAGGCTCGACACTAGTTCTGGAACTTCGCCATCAGAAGGCTTCTGCCCTGGTTCACCAGGTGGCTCAGTGGGCTCAGTGTTGGAAATAGTTGCCTTTAAGGAATTCCAAGTGACGACGCCTTTGAGGGCATCGACTGAAACGGCTTCTCGTAACCTTGTCAGAATTGTTGTCTAAGACAGCAAAAAATCGAAAACGATTAATTCTCAAGAATCAGTATGAAAAATGCATGCGATTATTAACAGGCCCATACTGAAAACTAATGTGCTGTTGCATATAATTCAATTTGCTTGTCAGTAAGCATAGAAAACATTAATTTTCGTGAGTGTTTAGATCGACAGTGACACAATTCTTAGCAAAAAAGATAACTTGGCTAAGCCCTAGCCACCATAGTTCTTAAATACAAATGCACAAAATGAAATAATTATTAGGTTCAAAACATTATTGAGACAAAATAGACGAGAAAATGACCTGAACAGAAGACAGCTTAGTTATTTGTTCTCCGAACCGCCTGAAGCCATCCAGTGTATCACCCTGTAGTTCTAGCTACAATTCAATAAATGAGGATAAAAAACTCATATTACGCCTTTGAGAGCTTCCTTCAATTTTGCGTGACTACCTTCCAGTTCTCGCATGCTGGTAAGTAGATCATCCATGACGCCGCAAACCTGAGAAAGGAAGAACAGGAACAATCAAATCCGTGGCATAAAGCAGACATTTTTAATTCCGGCTTTGGTGCCAATAAGAGTTTGTAGTTTTTGCACATTTAAACAAAGAAAATAATACAGTTATGTTTATTTAAAGTAAAAAAAGTCACCTTTTCAAGTCCTCCTTCTAAACTGTCAAGTCGACGCTTTGTCTGAACAGTTTGCCAGAGTTCAGTCATTTTACGTTTATCCTTTTCCGCAAGCTCTTTATTTGATTGACCGGAGAAGACAAAATCAAGGAGATCTGCATTTTCTGGTAAGGAATCCAGATTGGTGAGCTGCTTTTCTACTTTTGCTAAGCGGTTCTAAAAAATATTTAACGCATTAACTGGTATCCATAAACGAAAAACGTGCTGCTCACAGAACTTTATGTAACTGTATCTTGAAAGTTACCTCTAGGGATTGGTAAACGCTTGGGGCTACGGACTGAAGGCTGATTCCTATTTCATTAGTAATCGCTGCTTCCGCCGCCTCTGTAGTCGGCTCCACTTCAACTGGACTTTTAGGCAGCAGACCATCGGTGGATATATTTAAATTCGATATATCCAAATGTTGTAAAATAGCCGCGAGAAGTGCATGAAGAAAATTGAAGTTTACGGCTCCCGGCTAAAATCAATATAAAAGGACAAGATTTGTTTAAACGACAATGAACTGAAAAATGCATATCTCAGAAGGCTTTGCTATTGGCGATAAAACAGACGAATAAATCAAAAAATTGTCCGTGTCTATTTAATAAAATGAAGAATATTTCAATTTGGAATCCCTTAACGCTTTCGTAACGCTTACTGCTTGCTTGTTTTCTCTGACAATGGCGTCTCATGCGAAGCCAAATCTCATAAGAATAAAACTGCCGTTCAGAGATCGCGTCTTCTTCTTTACAAAAAGAACCTTGAGCACGCATATTTGCTTCTATTCGTGATATTATTGAGTCAATAAATTATGGTTTCTCGCAATTTACATTGCAAAGGGTAAGCTCATTGAGCTGCTGCCTTCCGTAAAAATTAATAGCAACCGTAATTCTACGCTTTCTTACGACGTAGTGGGCATTATAGGCATCACGATTAGCAAATGTGCAAATCAAAAGAAAAAGTAATCATATTCTCATTCTGAAGTTAGACCGCGAATTCTGTCAAAAATTCAGGCAGGCTAAACATCGCTCGATAAGCTTAACAGGCGTCTACTGTGGGTTTTTAATTGTATATATTCATTATTGATGCTATTTACTGACGCAAAATGGTCGCAGTGTATTATCAATAACAATGTACTTTGTAACCAAAAAAATCAATAATAGAATATTACGCAATACATAACTAAATAGATCTTTGAAAACTTTCTTGTTTCTTCTAGAATTCTCTATATTTGCAGAGAATAACATTTCTATATATATTTTTAAATTCAATATATTTTCATTGCGTTTTGAGGTTAAGGTTTGCTGGCATCCTTTTAACCTATGAACGCCCGAAGAGACAATGAAAGAGTTTAAACAGGACGTGGGGCCTTCTGCAGACGAAGCAATTTATGGTTATTTAATTCGTTTGATGGTAATGGTACAATAACCATATTATTATCAAAAAACACGTGAAGTTAACAAATTTAGTTACATAAAATACGTTTAAAAATTACTTCCGGATTCCCCAGAGAGAGCTGAAGCAATGTCGACAGTTTTACTTCGTTTTGCATGTTTTTTCTTCGTATTCGTTCAGCCGCTGGACAACGCCATCAACAGCCTTGAAGCCAATCCAAATCAAGGTCACACAAAGCTCAAAATCACGAAGGAGAGGATGATCTTAGTTTGCTAAGTGTTTCTGTAATTTGTGAAAACAAAGTTAAGTTTAAAGAATAGGTTTACAGTTACTAAGACGGATAAGGAACGAAAATGGAGAAAACGGGAATATTTAACAGCCCAAATGGCGGCTTGTGTGCAGTGGGAACTGTATAATGCTGCAGTCTTAAGCGAGTTGTGCGATCATTTACACGAAATACAAGTAATTCGTTGGTCTCATTTTAGAGCCCGTTGCAAAGAACAGATACTACAGATGATATAAACTCACAGAGCCGAGAAACGACACACCTTCATCTCCGTTTTCATTATCTCCTTTGCGAGAATCCCGGTCTGAGGCTTTTTGATGACATTCTCTCGCCCTTTATATACATGGGATTGTGTAAGTTTTCTTCGAGACAGTAAGCAGACACCCTACGACTATCGAATTTTCAAGGATCTTCGAGAACGTTGACAGCAGTTTGTCTGCGAGTTCATTAAGGTTTTTTGCATCTGTCATCCAATCAACTAAATGTAGTGGGCTGTAGCTGCGTGCCTTTGATGAAGACCACCGTCTTAGATCTATCGGTAGATGTGGTAATTCTCTCATAAAAGTTCGGCTGCTCGGAATGAACGGAAATAAAGAAATGTTATATGTTTTTTGTTTTACCAGAGGTGTCGGCAACCACCTTTTTCACCTCCAATGGAACCGTGTACGAACAAGTAAAAGGTAAACCAATGGAATCTCCGTTATCCGGCCTGATTGCTGAGGCAGAAATACAACAACAAGAGGTACTGGCTTTCTTCCGCTCTCAACATCGACTCTGGATTCGGTATGTTGGTGACAGGTTTGTCATCATCCGTCGAGACATGATTTTAGATTGTACAGAGAATCTGAACTCTATCTTTCCTGCCATCCAGTTCACGAGAAGGAAGAAAAAGACGTTCCTTGACGTGCTGGTGTGCAAAAAAGGCGGTGGGGAACTCAAAACCACAGTTTACAGAAAGGCGACAAATACCTCACGTATTCTGATTTACCTCAGCAACCATCCCGCCAGCACAAACGCAGCTGCGTGAGAACTCTATATTGCCGCGTAGAAACCCACTGCAGCGAACCAGCCGACAAGAAGGCCGATGTCAAATATTTGCGGAAACTGTTCACAATGCTTATCCTGGCGCATTTGTCGAAAAATGCAGGCGTGGAGGCCAGAACCCACACGCTGGCGAGCAATAACTTACATGGCTGGTGTATCCTAAGAATTCACTCGACTGGCCAGTGAATTTGGGATTGGCGTTGCTCACAGGCCGGAAGTACCAATCCGCAGACTACTTATTCAGCCTAAAGACCCAGTACCCGTTAACCAAAATTCCGGTGTCATCTACCGCATCGACTGCCTTTGTTGTCAAGCCAATGAAACCGGCAAACGGGTTCTCACGAGAATGTACCAGCACGAACTTGCCATGGGACGGAATGAAAAGCTTTATTTGGTAGCCGCTCACGCATCCGTGCCAGGGAACGGCTTCGATTTCGAACAAGTGCGAATACTGGGTCAGTCGGACGACCGAATCTCACGCCTCTTGCAGGAGGCATGGCACTCACACGCGGACTCTATCAATAGGCATATCAATCTCCCAGATGCCTATCTTGCGTTGCGCGAGCAATGTCAGGGCTCAAGTTCACTCGCGGCGGAGGGTACAATGGGAACTTAAGGTTACTCACGGCAGAGCTTACTTAATCACGCAGCGAGCTGTACGTCTTCATTCCTTGACGATGGCCTCGAGTGAGAGTCCGAGACGTCGGGCTAATACAATATTGGTCCCAGAGAGCGTCTTCCCGCCTTCTATTGAGTACATGTATATGCATAGTTGAAGGGTTACAGGCAGACAGTGCCAATGGTGACACTGTTAACGTAAAGTAACAATTACAGTCAATATAGAATCGTAGACATGTAAAATGCTTTAGAATCAAAGCGTTATGCAACTTCGAATAAATTGTCGCTGGTCAATGTGAAACAGTGTATGGTTAATTCAAATGCTGCCCTTTCTTTCCTCGGAGGAACCAAAACCTTCCTACTGGAGTTTCAAACTTTTTTAAGCTACTGTTAGATGAAGTGGGCAGATAGGACTTAGACAGCACACAGACTATCAAAAATAACATGTGAAACTTATATCAAAGGCCAATAATCTAATCAGGTGTTTGAGTGGTTCAGGCGTTACAATGCCGAATTTTGGTAGGAATAAATCTTAGCGCAACCCACCGGCAAAAGTCTCCCAGGCGAATGTATGACGGAATTCATGAATAAACGTTTAATGCTTGATTAAAGAGGAGGTAATATGTGGTTAATGTATGGTAAGTGCGCTGAAGTAAAAATATGAAGCCGCTTGTAATCTTTTTACCGAAACAAACATTTACATGAAAAAATTACAAAATAGAAAAACATGGGAAGCTTCTACTTGTCAGCAACGGAAGCATTTAGACCGAGAAAATTATAAGAATACTCGTATTGGTTAATAACGCAAGATTGTGGGCAAATTACCTTAGTAAAGAAATTAATATCACTATTAGGCGACCTCCCATTTTGGGTCTTCCAAGCTTAGTTCTAGAACAGAGCATAATATCACACGAGCACCATAGCAAATGTTTTGTTGGAATTCGATGAAGAAAAGGCGATGCCGTACGTTTTCTTCTCGGCAACGAATGGACTACGCAAAGAAAGTAAAAAAATGATTATAGCATTTTTGTCCAAATTGTAAGGTTAAGGTGTAAAAGTCTAATTCGAATTTTGCCATCACTAGCAACTGTTCTACTACGAGAGGAAGCTGGGCTGGTAGCGGTTGGACCGAAAATCCAGTCCCTGCCAGCACACGCCAAAAACTGGCAAGGTGACGATGGGGGGATGCGGGCGTATCCGGCGTTGATGGTTAAGGAATACGTATTCCACAATACGAAATTTCCAGAATGCTGTAGACGGATCTAAAAGGCAACCTTACCCATTTTGACTATTTTTAAACTTGCAGTGCTTTTTATATGACATTTGATAATATTTTTACGGATAATTTGATAGTATGCACACCCTCCCCGAAATGTCGACGGGAAAATGAAGGGATGACGAGGGGGATGAGGACGGGGAT